GACTGTATTATTAAAATTAAGTATATATATAAATATATGTTTAATATACATAACAATTAACAAAAAAAAGATCAAGGTAAGAACTGTCTTATGTCTATTTTTCCTATAATTTGCACCAGAAGTATTTACAACTTTTTAATCTAAAATTCAATAGTTTCTCATTGTAATTAATAATTTTATATTGTTATTTTCTTTTATTATCTTTTTTATTATTTTTGGACATTATAAATAATTACGTTAAAATCTAAAAAAATATTAACGATTTTTGCAACGTATATATTTTTTATAGTCGATCAAAGGTCAACCTTATCGAATTAAAATAATTTCGAATTGAAGACTTTATTATTAGCGAGATAAATATGTTACAAAAATAATACGTTCCAATAATTGACGTAGATGATCTTTCTCAAATCAAGTGTCATAGAATATCAATGATGGATTCAATTTTCGTTTTGTATTTTTATGTTTCATCAATGAACAGAATTTGGACGATGTATCATATGATTTGTCTTGATTTAGATCTGTGCAATGCTTATGAATATATTTTTAACAACTGCTCTACAATCGTTGCGTAATATTCTACTGAAAGTTAGCGACATTTTGCGGAAATCCAGATAAATAACTGTACACGTATGCGTGGGAAATCGACCAATTCACATCATTTTCGACTTGTCTCTTTGATGAATTGATTAATTTCTACGTGCGAAGCTTCATTTCTGCTATATAGATTCATCTGTTAATTTCCTCATTTCTGACATGTCAAATACATCGACGCCATTTTTTCCTACGTGTTAAAAGTATCAATATGAAGTACTGGACACCTATAGCGTAGTTTGCAATGGGCAGAAGGAATAAATTCATAAATAATGAGAAATTGACTAATCATTTTCGAATATAAAGAGAAAAGTCGATTATGATTGGTTAATTTTTTACTCTTACTTCTTATAAACATATTCCTATTGACCATTGTAGACCACGTTTATGAGTGTCCAGTACTAAGGACGAGTTCCACTTAACGCTCGAAACGACGTGAGCTTCATTCTATCTTTATTTAATATTCAGCGGGTAACAAAGATAGAAAGATTGCGAGTGTAAAGGATGCGTTTCACTTAACATTCCCAACAATCACGAGCATCATTCTATTCTTGTTTCTCTTCGATGTTAAACAAAGACAGAACGATACTCGCAATTGTTGCAAACATTAAGTGGAACCTGTCCTCAAACCTGTATTAGACTATGGATTGAAGATTGAGATTGAATTGAAATTTGACCAATCAGTGTAGAATTCACTAAATTTCACTAAACGAGTTTAATTAACTTTACACTGATTGGTTAGATTTAATTCAATCACAATCCCCAATCCATAGCCTGATACGGGCTTAAATGGAACCTGATGGCGCGGTCCCATGGTGTAAAACGTATACGCAATGCGGAATTGGCGAAACGCTCGTGATTGGTTCGATCTGTTTTACGTTCGTTCCGCCGATTCCCATTTCGATTTTATCCGCACTGATTACACAGAACTGTATGTGAACTTGTGTGTGTGTGTGTTTGTGTGTGTGTGTTAAAAACATTCCGAAAGTTCAACAGAGATACGTAAAAACATTATTAAAAACTGTAAATATTCAATAACAAATGGAATGTTAATTAAATAATTTTATATTAATGCAATATTATATTGAGTAATTATATATACAACTATATAATCCTACTATACAAAATATGAGTAGGGAAATTTGAGGTTATAATTGATTATTATTTGTTTATAACATAAAAATGTGGATTTTGTGGCTATATTCTCTCCAAAAGACTATAGTCGGTATTTATATGTCTTCTGCCCACAAGACGCGGCAATACTTGCCGCGCGGCAGAAATTCACGCGGTAGCCAATCAACATACCGTTTTTCGATAAGATTAGAAGTTTATTGGCTACCGTGCAAACTTCTGCCGCGCAGCAAACGTTGCCGCGTCCTGTGGGTAGAAGCCATTAGTCGAGTCTTATATATAAGGCCGTCTTAAGTTAATCTTCTGATACTACATGGCTTATTTCATTGGCTAGGAAGCATCTGGACATTGCAACCGGAACTGCGGCTGCATCTTGAGATGATCTTAAATATAAGATCTGACTATGAATATCGGCCTGTTATGATTTATAATTATAGAATTCATGAATTGTGACGCGTGTATGCATGTGTGTAATTCCAATCCATATGAGTTCGTGTTTCTACTGTCCCATGCAGCGAAAAACGCGGAAGCACAAATCTGTGCATGCTAATGATATATACTATTTCGATAGGTACAACGGAAGAATATGTTATAGAAGCAACCAATCAGCACACAATCTTGCGTGATAGAAAAGATTGAAATAACGCTGATTTATTGCTTCTATGACACATTCTCTATTCTGCAATTTCATTACGTGCAATTTCACCCTAAGGGAGAATTCCTTTCTTGAATTTATACTTTGACAGAAAAGCAGAAAAGTAGCAGCCAATCAGAACTCGCGCTGATAGTAAGCAGATAAAGCAGAAACTGTCGACTATCAGCGCGAATTCTGATTAGTTACTGCTTTTTTGCTTTTTTGTCAAGGTGTGAATTCTTCCTTAGTTCCGGTCTACAATAGTGTTTAAGCCTGAAGACTTAAGAAATTGACCAATCACAGTCGATTATTCTCTTCATATTTGACTGTGATTGGTCAATTTCTTACAGTTAATAGCTTAAAACATCTATTCTATTGGAGACTAGGACTTAAGTCAGCGACACACAATGCTTGTTTTCGATGCTTGTGTTAGATTGCTTGCTAGTTAGAAATAGTAAGTCTGTTCGTTTTCGCTGCACCGCTGAACTAGTGCAATAAGTTGAAGTGAGAAAATTTATACTTGTCTCGCTTCAACTTATTGCACTAGTTTAGCGGTTCAGCAAAAAGGAACAGACCAACTGCGTTCTGATTGGTGCATTTCCAAAAATGGATGACAATACACTAATCAAAATGTAGTATTTCTATCTAGCAAGCAATCCAACACAAAACAAGCATTGTGTGCTGCTTTAGACAAGGATAGAGCTATGTGAGACACTGGCATGTTCTTTCTCATTCCGTGGTTCACAAGAGAAAGGTGCGTGTTTCAGGTAGTACAGATTTCAGTGGTTTTATCAATAATCATTTCTTTCTTGAAAAGAAATAATTTATCTTCAATTATATAGACGAGCATAAACATGGAAATAGAACGTACAGATACTAAACAAAATCTTCCAATGGTGAACGTTAAACGGAAATCATCCAAAAAACGCCGTGCTAACGAGAGTCACATGGAGGTACTGTTTCAGATTACAAATTATGTTGAACAATATTGACTATTTTCAATTAAATAAAGCACTTATAGATTAGTATTTATTGCTCGCGAATAAATGATTAAATATATGAATGATAGAACAAATGATTAAATATATGATAGACCTAGAATAATAGTGCTTATTTAACTGTTGTTTTCTGAACGTAGCTATTGGGTGCAAAATTATCTAAAGAATATATATTTTTTACAGTGATAGTACTGTAGCAGGATTCTGTAACTTCTATCGACAACTATCGGTACGTGTCGTTGTAGCTTTTTTTGTTATGTTATACCTGTGCAACGACATATTCCTTGACCGACAGTTGTCGGTAGATGATTACAGAATACCGCTACTATTTACACATGTAATAAGTTTTGTTATTTGTTCTCTATATAATTCTATATTGCAATTATCTTTCCAGGTAGAGGTAGTTAATGGCATAGAAGGAAAAATAAATCAGCATACAACTAGTAAAAGAGCTAAGAATGCTACAGAACAAAGAAAGGTGGAATAATATTAAATAATATTAAAATCTATTTATTGTATCTAATAATTTCTTAATGTAATAGTATATTAAGGTTCAGAAGTGACCACTGTCATTGTTTAGTGACGTCAAAAATGAAAAAACCTGCCAACATTTTTTGCGTTATATTTTTAAATAAAAAAAAATACAAAATGACATCTGTAATCAAAATTCAGCAAACTTGTAAAATCAGATAAACACTTTTCTTTCACTCAATTAATAAATAGTCGTAAGATTAACATTGACAAAACCATGAGAAAAGAGACTGGAAAAGAAGATTCCATGACGAATTAATTTAGCGATTACTCCGGTGCCTTAACGCACTCATTTTTAATTATGAATTTGTATTGTAGGTTGCAGTGCCAGCTCATCGATACACACCTTTGAAGGAAAATTGGTTGAAGATATTTACACCTATTGTTGAGCATTTAAAATTACAAATACGCTTCAATATAAAAACAAGAAATGTAGAAATCAGAACTGCATCAGATACCCCAGATATTTCGAATCTTCAGAAAGCTGCTGATTTTGTAAAAGCATTTATTTCCGGATTTGAAGTGGAAGATGCTTTAGCTTTATTACGTTTGGATGATTTGTTTGTAGAGTCATTCGAAATACTGGATGTCAAACAGTCATTGAAGGGTGATCATTTATCTAGAGCCATTGGTAGATTAGCAGGCAAAGGTGGAAGAACAAAGTTTACTATCGAAAATGTAACAAAAACTCGAATTGTATTAGCCGATAGTAAGATACACATATTGGGTTCCCATCAGAATATACAACTAGCCCGTAGAGCGATATGTAATCTGATTTTGGGTAGCCCACCTTCCAAAGTTTATGGTCAGTTAAGAAATATAGCTAGCAGAGTATCAGGTCGATTATAATAAGTTATAAAATATATCATGTTGAACTTTATGTATATACATATATACAATTGCTTTTCTTTCATCTGTGTAACAGAAAGATGGTTTATGCTTAGTGTTCTGTATAAAACCAATGTATGTATGCGCGCGCACGTGTATGTGTGATGAATAATCGATTGCAAAAGCAACTTATTATAAAAAATGAGATGTGAGATTATAATTAGCGCAATTTTATAAATAACAGATTCATAAAAGTATTTGATATTTATATTTACGTGGCACTTTATTAAGAACTAATCTCCCGTCGTAACTGAGAGATGCAAATGTCCAGGGATCAGCGGATGACCATTCCACAGCATACACACTATCTTCATGCTCTTCGTATCTGCCTACAAGACCATCTTCCAATCTGGAATACCACAAATATATGAATTTCCCTATTTTGCTTGTGTTAATTAACTACAAGATACTATTACGCGTGTTTGTCCATTTACTTTTTTTTCCCGCAAGATTCTTCATTTTGCGAAGACTCTTCTTCAGCTGACACCATGTGTCCGAATGGTTCAGACGAAATAGATGCGATGCTGCATAATATTACTCTTGAGTCACTGCTAGATGTTAAAACAAGCTGATCGTGGAAACGATTGATTCTTATGTTCCACACCCAATGCGAGTGTTCCATACGTGACAGCACTGGTTCTGTTGGAAATCGAATGTCCCAAAATTTCATGTACCCATCATCACCACAGGTGGACAGAAAATATTGACGATTTGCATTAAAATCCAAATCCCTGGTAAATGAGTCAGATATTAGGTAGAAAGAAAAGATGGATTTAATTTCATGGAAGATTCACTCTTGTACTATTATTACCTAATGATTTGTGAATGTGCGGATAAAATAGACCAAGCAGAATTAGCTGGATTTCTAAAATCCCAGCCACGTACATTGTTTTCATTTAAGGTTATAAATTGATTAGCTCCATTGTGAGGATTCCATTTACCATTTGTAAATCGTGGCTGACCTTTACCTTCCAAAGTACTGGATGCCATAACCTGAATAGAATATGAAGGAATTATCAGATTACAGAATTCTTTCTTATTTAGCAGAAATAAATACAAAATAAAATTATAGAAATCTTAATCTTACAATTGAAGATATCAATACCTTTGGTGCTTCGTTTGACAAATCCCATAAAACAAAATTATTATCCACTACAGAAACAATTTTCTTACTATCCATAGGATGATAGGCAATAGTTTTAAGATCAATGCCATATAAAGTCGTATCAATATCTGCTAATTTATTAAGTTGCAAAACATCATCAGTGTATTCTCTTATTTCAGGAAATTGCCAAACAGCTCCTTTCATTTGGCAAATACCTTCCTCTAAAAAAAAATTAATGTTATTTGAATCATTTGTAAATATATTTTGCTTTATCATAAATCATAAAGTAAAATTACTAAACCATTTAGTCTATTTATTTTTTGGTCCCGATAATAAGAAGTACCTAAATATAAATAAATTAAATATATATAAGTAGACTTATTTACCATTCAAACTATTATAACACGTAATAAATACATCAGGTTCTGTTGGAGAAGCTTGTATGGACCAAATTTCTCCTATTGAATGCTGGAACACTTGAGTTTTTAAATGTCCCGTTTCTTCATTAAGTTCCACCAAGTGAACTTGGTTATTACTAAATTTTAAGGACTGCGTTCCTACTAGAAATCTTACGATATCAGTCTCAGCTGTTTGAGCTGACAATGCTCTAGTCTAAAATATAAAAGAAACATCATATATTTCTTGTATAGGATCTTAATTCACTTGGAACAACTGTTGTTGAACGGTAACAATTATTTACAATATTCAGCAGAATGTATATTATTTGTTAGCTGTATGAGAAGTTATGAAATGAAGCAGAATGTGATTTTTTAAATTCGCAATTTCATACTTGGAATTCGAGCCCGTATATGACAGGATTGTCATTTTCCATTTTTCAAATATTATGTTTCACCAAGATGCAAAATGTATTATTTCTCAAAATTCGCAGGAAAAGACGCTTAATTCTTATTTAGTTAACTAAGACCCTTAAGAGCCTTCGAGCTTGACAGATCCGCAAGAGAAACATACCACACCATATTATTTCCCGACTTGACGTTGAGTCGTACTGCGGCATCGTCAGGTGGCGCCAGACGATCCATCGATCATCACTCCACGAAGATAACGCACGAGTCGTCGACGCTCCGAGCGCCCCGACGTCAGGAAGGTTCTCGCTACCCACACCGAAATCTACACGTCCCTCCGTGTTCCACGGCAAGGTATTCCCCCACCAGTTCGTTGCGACGAGCGCAGCCGTTGATTCGCATCGCAAACGGATCAACGGAAGAGCGGGCAGTCGCGGGGGGACCGGTGGGGTTAGCGGATATATTATGTCAAAGCAATTCGTCGCCGCGTATCGATGAGCGCGATCCGCCGCAGACTCTTGCGCTCGCACGCGTCAGTACCGTCATCGTAGCCGTCGTCGTTATCGTCGTCGTTATCGTCGTCGCATCGATGCGCTTTTCCGCGTACGGTTCTCGCGTACAAACGCAGTGTCAGAGCGAGCGAGCGAGCGACGTCGTCGGCCGGATGCATTTTAAACGCGTATCTTTATCGTCGTTGGCCCGGACGTGAGAAGTCTGATTGTCCGACACGAAGCGAACTTCCCACGTTGTCGGCCGGACAGCCACGGACGAATGTGCGTTCCTCTTCACGTAGTCTTCGCGCGAAGAACGCACGCTTCGTCCCTCATAACCCTTTACCCGAAAGCGCCGCTATGCTGACGCTGCAGCATCAATTGTGAGTACCTGTTTCTCTTATCCTGTGTGTTCCGTCGTCGACCGGGAGAATAGTCGGCTATATCCGTCGATACACGCATACCACCTTCTCGTCGCGTGTCTACGCGTTCGGAGGTGTGCATACGGATGTACATATGTGTTGCACATATCGCGGCTGTCTCTTCTTTTTTTTTCCGCTTCCCAAGTGGCGGACTGCGCCGTCTTTTTTCCCTTCTTATCGTCCTGTTTTAAAGGTTAATCGCGGCCGATCACGCGGAGTCAACGCAAATGCTCCGCTTCTCGCTCTTCCTCCTCTCGTCGAAGAGGGTATTTCGTCGCTCGTGGCATCGAGGTTGAGATACTCAACGATCATCAGTGTAACGCGAGTCGCATCGCGATTAGCATCCGCGATATTTGCTCGCGCCCGGCAAATGGAACGTATCAGCTGTTGCTGAATATATTCGCATTTACTTTGCGCAGAACTCATTGTCTGGCTTTGCGTGATAGGTAGATAGAGTTAAAGCGAGGAAAAGCGAGTTATCGCGGAGAGATATTGTTTCTCGTCGTAGATTTATCGAGAGATCCCATCCTCAGAGGTAGTAAGAGTTACGTATGTAATTACGCGGTGTATGTTCGTAGACTGAGAAATACGCGTGTAGAAGAGACTAATCGCGCAAAAATATAACAAAAGCTATCTAAATACGCTTAAATACACCTGATAGTTGGTTCGATGGATTTTTAATCTTAAAATGTCACGTTATCGAGCGACTAATGTTCGCTCGACATCTCGTTATCGCTCATCGCCGATATTGATTTACGCGCGTCGGAACTTGAATAGTTAATCATTCATCATAATTTGGAAATATCCTGATAACGAATAATTATTGTTGAGAAATCTAACTCTAAATTTCCCGAGAAGCCGGCCAACGACCGAAACGAAACACAAAAGATATAGTCACGATACTCTGTATAAGTTACGTCGTAGAGGTTTGCGTGTGGGAATTATCGAAAATAGAAGAGACATTGTGAGGAAGCTACGACGCGGCATGCTACGTTGCGATGAAACTTCGCTATTTCGATTCATATATTTAGGTTCATTTAGATATATTCGACATTATCTGTGTCTGATGTGGGAACCAGCAGCATGACTTCAAAGTCCATATTTATTCGTCACAAACTACGTATTATCCAATTGCTTCTAATTGAACGATACATTTGGCTCATCTATATGAAACGGCATTCTACGAATGCCGCGATTCAATTGCGACTTGTGTACTTATAACAGAATGTTGTATGAGCGCACTTCGTTTTTCATGCGTGCGACCGACCTGAAAATGCGTACGAATTGTGAAACATGCATATTAACCAAATGTGGAAAGGAAAAAAAAATATTCGAAAACCTTACGGTGTATATAGTCGTCTTGGAACTATTCATTTTAAAAGAGGTTTAATATAACACTATATCACGACAATACAATGCCATATGACGACTTATCCTAATACCAGATTTTAATTCTAACGGGTTCCAACGGATTCTAATTCTAACGCGCTTCGCTCCGTTTGAGTAAGCCAATTATTTTCCACTTACAGAAAGTTCACTTACTCCTATTATACGAATTCTAATCGCGGATTTTTATTTCAAAAGAGACCCTCCACTGCATCTTGGCGGGTCGATTTTTTTTAAATTGCAAATATTTATTATCGTACTAATTTGCGCGGATCATTTGATACGCGTACTGACTGGTAGTATTATCAGCGTTTGAATATTCTATTCAAATTTATATTCATTTTTATTATCTTGATTTTTCGGCGATATATATACAGAGAAAAAGGTTTCTTTAGATTTACGTGTTTGTTTAACTTGGTTTAATATAAACAACATAATTTAATATGAAATATTTTATTTGAATGAAAATATTGTTTCACTAAAGTAAATCATGTTGTTTGATAGAAAAACAGTATTATTTTGAGGAAGTAATATTTAGTTTTAAAAAGTTTGGCAGTAACAAAATTTATTTTCTTGTATATTAAATATTATCTCATTGAAGCAAAGAAGTTCTTTAATATTTTTCTAACAAATTTTTTTCGACGTGAAAAAACATCTGGTTTGCATTAGCCAGTAAGGGAACAACCAGGTGCATTTTGGTCGGAGAAAACAGAATTTCTGGTTATAAGAACCATATTGGAGTCATAAGAACCAAAAATTTTGTTTCCTTCAACCAAAACGCACTAATTAATGCAACCAGACTTTTTTTCCATGTAATGTTAATTCTTTCAAATAATTTATTGTTTGTGATAACCATTGTAATGTTTGGATGAGAATTTGAAAGATACATGTTATTTGACGTAAAGATATTTATTACTTCAAAAACCAAGCGATCCTGTTTGTTGAATCAAACATACGTTTGTTCGTTCCATTTCAAAAGACAAATTTGTTTCAATTAAAAAAAATTATATTAAATTTAAAGAAATTTTTGTCTCTTGTGTAAATGATGACGAAGCCGATGCGATATATGTCTTTTATGCATATCGTACCAATAAAGTACGCTATCGTTTACATGCATAGTTAAAATTGAGATAGTTTAATAGAAAGTTACTATTTTGCACGCGTATCGCTGTAAACAAACACCTTATCATTTTATCGTTTTCGAACCGACATTCCCTCTGCAACAACCTGGATCGCATCACCTTTTAGGCTATGTTCATATATTTATTGCCCAATACTAGAAATCTATAATTCATCTTACATACATTATAAATTTTTAGTATACTGGCAACGAATATACGAACACACACAGAGAACCCATTTAATTGAATCAACTAAATTCTTGTTTGACTATGGGCAAACAAATTTTTTGGTTGTAATAACCAAAGTTTGGTTATCTATACTGAAGGTTTGGTTCCCTGAAGTTTCTTGTTCTCTGAAGAAAGAGGTTGCAAAAAACCAAACCTTTGGTTCAGAGAACTAAACCTTGGTTCTTATAACCAAAAAATTTGTTTGCCCATAGTCAAACAAGAATTTAGTTGATTCAACTAAATGGATTTCTCAGTACAGTAGCTACAGTATAGTAGCTACATAGCTGCGAAATCTACACTCGTATCATCAATTGAAATGCCAATACGAGCTATCATCGATGCTACCAATTCGGACGCGATAAGGAGCGTTTTGTAAATCGATTTCATGGCACGCGAATGAACTAGCAAGTGAGTGAACGAGCGAGCAAGCGAGCGGGGAGTCTCGATGATCGCACGGAGACGAGCGATGTTCGCGATAACACGTTCGGATTCATTGCTTACGCGCTCCCGTTTCGGTTACCGTCTCACTTAAATATTCATATTACTCTGTGGATTCGAGTTAATTGAACTATTAGACGTCTCCGTCTTGCCCCGTCTCATCGTCGCCGTCCAACGTTGGCGTCGCACCGCCGTCACCGTCGCTTATGGCAAATTCAATCATCCGCACTACACCGGCTCGGTGAATACTAAAAGCTATTATACACGAGACGGTTATTTAAGTAAAAAAGCATATAAACATTTTGAAAGTAAATACCTAACAATGATATTATCACGTTATTTAGCAGGACATACGTTAATTATCATTTCTACGTCAAGATGTGCTTATTTTATGCCGCTGTATTTGGATATTTTATACGCAGCGGCTTTTAGCGTGCACTAATCCGGTATAGTGCGGGTGATCGGATTCGCTATTAATTCCTAACAAAGCCTGCACCGATGTCTGCGTTTGGAAAAAGAAGAGATACGTTTGTAATATATCGTCTAAATTACATACGATATACATAATATATTGTACATAACATACATGGTACGTTAAATTAAGATGCAAAAGTTCGCTTCGTTTTTTAGTCAGTTTTTTCTTTGCTCAGAAATTCCAGAATTTCTACGAGCGCGGGATCATGCAGCTACTGGAGAGAGAACAGACCATCGAAAAAGTACACATTCGGTACACATTCAATCAATTAATTGTATCTTAAAATAAGTAAATGTGATATGTATATTTTGATTAAAGAACGGAACGAACTTCTGCGTTAATCCACATACAGAATACTTTCCATTTAGTAACGCAAGTCGACACAAATATCACTCTACACAGTAAAAAAATATCTTGTATTTACGTTAAAATCGGTCCTTGTCAAAATTTCTGAGTTAATTTTTTAACATATTCATGTGTTAATTTAACACATTTACATATGTTATCTCAATATTTTATGTTAATTTAACACATTTACATATGTTATCTCAATATTTTATGTTGAGCCGATATTCAACATGAGCAAAATGTTAAAATAACGCATTTTAGTATCGATGAACATATTACGGGTATTAATTTTGTGTTAATTTTTGAAATAATATTTGTGTCACTTCTCATATTCATCTTGTATTAAATTAACACAAAAATTTATGTGGACCTTTTTGGGACATGTGAAGTATGTTAAATTTAACACAAAATTTCTTACTGTTTATCTTTGTTATTCATTGAATACGGAAAACAAAGACAAAATTATGCTTGTGTCAATAAATGGAAAGCAACCATATAATGACGTCATTTAAATACATAATGTTCTTCGTCGCAATAGAAACTACTTAAGATATATTCTCGAGGACAGAACGATCTTTCGAGTTTTCTCCTGTGTATAATGGAATCTAACTCACGGTGATATCGACGAAGAGAGTTCTGAAGGAAGCAAATGAATGAAGATTATTATTCTGCTCGCGATTGCAGTGGGGATACGTTATATCTGCCGCGATTAGAAACTTCGATTGGAAACGTATGCTACGTATAAACGGGCTCCTCGCGTTTCTTGATCCATCGGTCTACCCACACAGCCACAATTAATGTACTGGCGGTGAACGCGCTTTAAATCTCGAGTTTCACTTTAATCAATAGTGTCGTGTGTTACACGCGGAAAGTTCTTACGATTGCTGATCGTACTCGACAGAGCGCGCCCGCAGGACGCTCATCGGGTTTCGAAGCAAAGTGCACCGCGAAGTGTACCTTTAACT